TTTCAATGGCCTGAGGGAAGAGTCCTCTCCTCTCCTAGAAATTTGTCCTAAGAGGTCAGAGTGGTTCTCTAGAAATAGATATTCTGGCTCTGACAAGAGGGGCCGGAGGCAATAGGCATTACCTTTTTGTTCAGTTCGATGTTCTCCAGCACCTTGATGGCCTGGTAGTAATCTCCTAACAGGGAATGCAGGCGGAGAAGCCCCACCAGGCTGAAGTAACCAAGCATCTTGTAGAGGGAGTGCCGCCCATACTCCCCAGCCACACTCTCAGGATCACCTGAAAGAGACAGGACACCGTGAATACTCTGGTAGGAGGAAGGTAAAGGAAGGCAGACCTGACCTATGAATGTCACTCAGCAGACATCTCACCTGCTGCCAGCCTTGGGAATAACTTCAAAGGCAGTTGGGAATAACTTCAAAGGAATACCAAGAAACGGCAAAACCAACCTTCTGCTAATCTTAAATTTACCAATAGTTGCCTTCAGGGGGGAAGTTCATTTTGCTTTGTATTTTTTTGGTCCCAGCACATGAGAAAGCCTCCCCTCATCAGTAACATATACCCACCAAGACCTCTCCCTTCAGGAGTACACAAGGGAAAAGCTATTTTCCTAACAACACTAAGATGCCATTTTGCCCTTCCCACTGAGCTGACACTTGCATGCTGCAAATACTATGCTGGGTAAAATTACTTTCAACTTAAGCATAAATCAGACAGTGACAACAAATTGTACCAGTAGTCATTATATTGTTCCTTGCTATGCACTGGCACTAAAAGAACTAGTCCTTAGCCAGGCATGGTGGCTTTCACCTGTAATCCCAGCTACTTGGGACGCTGAGGTGGGAGGATGTACTTGAGCCCAGGTACTGTATCTGAATAACCAGAGTTTGTATTTTTTGGAGACAGAGAGCTATAAAAGTGCTACTGCATTCTGGCCTGGGTGACAGAGAGAGACCCTGTTCAAAAAAAAAGAGAGAGAAAAAGAAAAAAAATCCTTTTTTCATGGAGTACCATTTTTACTTGAAAGAACAACTGACACATAGCTGAGCACAGCCCACACCTGTCATCCCAGCTCTCTGGGAAGTCGGGGCTGGTGGATCACGAGGTCAGGAGTTTGAGACCAGCCTGGCCAACACGGTGAAGCCCCGTCTCTACTGAAAATACAAAAATTAGCCGGGTGTGATGGCGCACGCCGATAGTCCCAGCAACTGAAGAGGATGAGGCAGGAGAATCGCTCGAACCCGGGAAGCAGAGGTTGCAGTGAGCAGAATTTGTGCCACTGCACCACTCAAACCTGAGCAAGACTCCCTCTCAAAAAAAAAAAGACAACTGATACAAACTCTGGTTATTCCGATATGGGTTTCTGGCAGACATTTTCACAAAAATCAAAAATGAAGTAAACTTGTCACACCTCAATGAAAAGAACTGATGGTGGTGTTTCCTAACAATAAAAAATTCAAAGGTTGGGCACAGTGGCTCACACCTATAATCCCATGAGTTCGAGATCGGCCTGGGAAACAAAGTGAGAACTTGTTTCTACTAAAAAAAAAAA